CATAATATTTCCTTTTGTTTACGTGAAATATGTTTGTTGTTGTAATTCTAATTTTATTTGAATGTATACAATTTATTTCATTCTTTTATGAAATAGCAGACAGTGTGTTGGATGGCTTGATACTGAATTGGTTGCGTCCATAGTTTCATCGTGGCAGACACTTGTTATCAATTGTTGAATAAATTAGTTTTAGTCGACAAAAAAAAAGACCTTCGTAAAGAAAATTTCACAACCCTAGATATGATATGGAAGTGATAACTGCATATAAACAAGTTTCGCCACTTTGTCACCAATGACTCTTTACGTTACAACATTCAAGTATGCAATCAAGATTGAACATACAAAACAAATATTACAAGAACCCTTCTTGTTCATTATTCACTATTTACGAATGTGTTATAAAATAATAAGGAATTTATTCAAGGGGGCTTTAAAATATAGATTGAAACAATCCATGACGCCGACGATCAACTGACACATCAATATATTCATATTATACCACGGATGTGATCAAAAATCGTTTGAAGAATGCCATATTAAAATGCGATATAACACACTCTTAGGAAAACAAACGATTCAACAATAGCTCATTAAGAAAGATAGACAGAGTTTTCAAAAGGGTTTAAAACAAAAAAAAATCAAGACAAACTGACAAAAGCTGGAAAGCAAAAAAGTAAAAAAACGACGAAAAAAAACAGCAGTCTATAAAACACATTATAAGAACCAACAACACCAACCCCACCAATCCTGCTCCATAAGTGACACCTTTTGTGTTGATAATGTAAGATTAAGAGATCGTAACCCTAAATTCATCCCCTTTCACAAACACTAATCCAACATAGTTATGAGGAAGATCGACTGATACCAGAATAGTCGTCTTACCTGTATGTTTGCTTATTGTGCATGTCTGACTGAGTGTTGATTTGATTTTTGACTTTAGGGATATCCATGCATTTCAAGAGACGCTTAGCTTGTCGACTTACCTTCATTTGTCTTCTTAAGCAATTTCTGACATTTAAAACATCGGTAAACTGTTGTTACTTTTATTTAGTCATGTGCACTGAGACATTTTTATAATTAAATCTATATGCTAATGGGACGACCATTTGATATTCTGGTGGTTGCAAGGAGAACTTGTTTTGGATGGATTTTTTATTTTTGTAATCTATAAGGACAGATTTTTTATTTTCCGCACTATTGAAGCATGATTTTTCATTTTCAGTAAAACAAGGGACTGATTATTTATTTTCAAAACTATATATTAAAATCAGTCGGATCAAGAACCAATCCAATATATCTTATTATAATCCTTTATAATAAATTCCATTTATCTAGAGTTATCTAGAATTGTTTTACTCAATATATGATAAAAAATTTAAGAAATATTAAGAAATGTTCGAATTTGATGTTTTACTTATGGGGATACTATATTAAAATTAGTCGGGTCTAGGACCAATCCAGTATATCTTATTATTATCCTTCGTAATACATTCCATTTTCTATGTACATCTATCTAGAGTTATCAAGATTGATTTACTCAATGTATGATGATATTTTTTTTGTCATGGAATACTTTTTTCAGCATTTATTTGTGTACTTTTAAAGAAATTCATACGTACTTATACATTAAATAGTGTGCATATTCTAAGAAAAGAATCACAGAGCTGATTATATGTTCCTGATTATATAAAAGGTGTTTCTGTTAAGGTCGTAATGACCTAGACCTATCCTCATGAGGTATACTGGCCATGTGCTTTCCTTTTTGTAATAGTAAGAATTGTTCTAATTTGATTTTGTTTACGTATGGGGATACTAAAAGTCATAATGTGTACATTTCAAATATCAAATTCCCAGTGACGTAGCAAGGCCTTTTATAATTGTATGGCCGAACCTCGGCGAGGGGTCCGAAGGCCCTTAGTAGCCCCAGGGCAAAGGACCTCCGGGTAGGGGGCGAAAACACCGGAAGCTCACGCGTTATCGTAAAAATGATACCATTTCTGTCATTCAAAATTCATCAATAACAACATACTTGGTTGGTTGAGAACAAATCTTGACTACATAAGAGATGATTTTAGCTTACCAGTTGTTAACTTTCTATTTCTATGTAGCAATAAATCAGTAGAACCTGCATATGGAATATATATCTTCCAGTTGATACGATATTTCAGAACGTGCATTTCCAATTATGACTTCCTTGAATGAGGTTGCTACTTACAAGGAAGCTGTCAAACTAAGAGTTCCAAGTGATGACGTTGAAAGCATTCCTTCGAAAATTTTAAGTTGGTTGACTGTCTCACAGATGACGACGGGCATGGTTCATTGTTGTAACCACAATTCCGTTCTCTTTTCATCGGTCTTGACCTACCGAGTTTTTACATACATTTGCAATACGACACATGTGGAACAGGATATGCTTACCCTTCTGGAGCACCTGAGATCAGCCCCGATTTAAGGCGGGGTTTGTATTGCTTAGTCTTTAGTTTTCTATGTTGTCTTTTATGTACTGTTGTTTGTCTTTTCGTCATTTTTCGTCTTTTTGTTTTCAACTGATGAGTTTGAATATTGGTATTTTTCGCCTCTCTTTTAAAGTTTGATTTGGGTTGTTTTATGTTGATTTCATTGTGTTGATTTGGAATCGAATGGTCCTTTGTTTTAGAGAAAAATGTCCAAATCAGTTACTTTAGAATATATTTAAAAAGGAGATGTTGGGTAAACCAATCAATCGTCAAAAAAAAAATCAAAACTTTATAAAAATAGTTTAAAAAGCAAGTTCTATTAATTGTTTTAACATCGTATAATTTTCACACCTTTTTACCGGAAAATTTCGTTAATGGACGCATGCAATAATTAATTTTCATAGATGGTCAGGTGTAAAATAAAAATGCAAGCCACACATATTGTATCCCAGCAGATACTAAATTGCTTTAAACAATAGTAATCTGAGTAGAATATTCACAGTAGATTCAAAGTTTGACAGAAAATGAACAAATATGTAATACGATACCATTTGATTAAAATGTAAATTTCGTCACTTGTATCTTCATTTACGAGTCATCAAAAAAAGCATTACAATTGCTCGTCTGCTTTAAACAATTCCTTTAATTTATTTGGATCTAAATATTTTCCCTCCAAATTTGATGTGCACACCCGGGCGTTTTGACGTAAACATAGCTACGCGCCTGTCTTCTGTCCTCCAAAAATGAGTTGGATGGGGTAATTATCAAGTTTTTTTACATAATTATCTTCAAAGGTGAAAGATTTGAAAAAAAATCTAACTTTAGACATTAAAATATATAGAAAACCCACTGATAACTTATAATAACTTGAACGAACATCAGCCCAGGCTTCATAACTGGAGAAATAATTCGCCTTACTAGGTCTTGCAACAACTGAAAAGACCTCTATAAAGAAGATCAACTTTTTAAGTCTAAACTTCTTAAAAGAGAACATTGCAAAAATGAGATCGACAATATTATAATAAAAACAAGAGAAAAAGAAAGAACAAATTTTTTTAAATCTAATTTAAAAAAAAAACGAAAAAGGCTCCACCACTCGTTTTTTGCAACAAGATTTAATCTGGTATTTAAGGGAATCGACAGAGCTATATGAAACAAAACAGAAAAGCAAAAATACTATTTCCAAAACCTCCGATTATTGCATACAGCAGGCATAAAAATCTAAAAGAGTATCTAAGACATTCAAAAATAAAAAAGGATACATTAAGATAATTTCCAACAAAAAATAAAATTATGCATAACAAAATAACAGAAAAATATTTAATCAAAGGAATATAAAGAAAGAAAGAAAGAAAAAAAAAACCGAATGTATAAACAGATGTCGTATCCCCATACGTAAAAAACAAATTCGAACAATTGTTAATATTACAAAAAGGAAAACATATGGTCATGACCTAGGCCTACGAGATTAACCGAAAAACCTTTTATATAAAAAGAAAAGCAGACTCAGCTCTGTGATTCTTTTCTAAGAATATACACAGTATAAAAATTACGAGCACGTATGCATTTCTTTAATAGTACAAAAATAAATGCTGAAAAAAGTATTCCATAACAAAAAATTATCATCATACATTGAGTAAACCCATCTATATAACTCTAGATACATGTACATAGAAAATGGAATAATTACAAAGGATTATAATAAGATATACTAGATTGGTCCTGGACCCGACTGATTTTAATATAATTCGATGAGATGAAATACATTATTTACAATTTAATTTAAAACTGTACATAATGCATACGTACACAAAAAAACAATACAGGTTAAAATGGGAAAAGGTATAAAAGTGAGGTTAATGTTCGTGAGACAATATACCGTAAGTGAAATGAAACCCATGTATAGACATTTCAAAAACACTAATATTTATTTATGGTGTAGTTTATATTTTATTAAATATTTGAGAAGTTTTTTCCGAAAAAATATGAATAAAGAAGAGTTTTTGTAGAATCTGGTGCCATCTCATACTTTAAAACATGCATTTATAAAATGGTTTAAAAGACCTGTTGAGATATTTATTTTCAATACATAGTAGCTCAGATTGTTTTTTCAAACTACCACAGAACGAACCATTCATTTTTGTCATTATCAAGGCGGAATAATTAATTTTTAAAATCCTCCTGCCCCTACCCCCACCCTACCCCCCCAGAATATCAAATGGTCTTCCCTTAATACAGTATTACATTTTATGTTTCAAAATATTAACATGATAACATTAACCTACCAATTTTTTTGCCCCAGGTACGAATTTCGACAATAAATGTCCCTTCAGTAAAGCCCGACACCAAAATATTTGAAAATCCAAAGCTTATTAAAAAGATGAAGAGCTATAATTCAAAAAGTATAGCCAAAGCCGGGTTAGGAATCTGAGCTTTGCATGAGGGAGATACAATCGTTAATTTGAAATAATTTCTAACATACAATTACCATAAAAAGCATTAAATTCCTGAAAATATTCTGAAAAATAAATTTTGTGACATCAATTGGTTGAATCAATCTTTACTAAACACATAATCGATCAGTTATGGGTTAAAAATACCGGCGCATCTGTGCAACTACATGAAACATAGTAGACATATTTGCCATGTGTACCTTTAACAAATCTAAAACAGAAGATGAGCAAAATAGTATGATCACACCTACTGTTTGATTAAAATGACTATTTTGTCTTCAAATAAGAACAACTAGAAACAAAAATGTGCATGCAATTTTGCAGTACGTTTTGGTGAAGAATTTAACAAGTGTGAACTTTATCTGTTATTATTAACAAAATAAAATATAATTACTACTGTTTATTTAAACAAAAAAAATAAATTTGACATGCAATCACACTACATACGCAAATGCAATATACGTTAGTATTATAAAAGTTCTGCTTCAAAGATGACATATCATAAAGTCAAAGTAAATGGTGGCTGATAAAAAATTATTCTTCAGGTTGTGTTATAAAAATTTTAATAGACATCCGTCCTGATCTACAATATATAAAATAAACAATTAAATAAGATATAGTGCACATTCGCAAAGTTTGGACGTACATTTTGTGTCGAAAGAAAACAAAATGTTTTAGATTGATGTGATGTTACTGGAATTTAAAATTAAAACATTTTCATTATTATTCAGGTAGAGAAAGAAACAAAAACAATGAAGGAATAGAAAACGATCAAGTCAAACATGTCATACATCGAGAGCAAAGTCACATCTACTTCAAAACGTGCAGAAAATTGCGATATGGGCTTTGCTCATTTGATGAAGGCCATACGGTGACCTATAGTTGTTAATTTCTGTGTCATTTGGTCTCTTGTGGAGAGTTATTTCATTGGCAATCATACCACATCTTCTTTTTTTATAGAAATAGACCCATTTAAACATTACTATGATTACAATACTGAGAAATACCAGTAATTTATTGACTCATATATTTTGATATACTATGTTTCTAGTATATTTTAGAGTATTGAAGGCAAACAGATATAAAGACATAGAATTTGGTATATAATACTGTACATCATACCTCTAACGTAAACATTGATACATGTACACTTTTGACTACTGTCTTCTTTAATTTGAGTACATTTTCAAATAACAAATGCTTTTCTGTTTGTTTGATTTGGATACGACATTTGTCATGTTAATAGCTTCGGAAACTTTACATTGTATATTACTACTTGATATATTTTTCTGACGTCAGTCAGTTGTTCTAATAATATGTATTTAGCAGGAATAAACTGTAAGATCGAAAGAAAATGATAATCTACATTTTACCTTGTTAACTATTAATCGCTAACACACGCATAATGTCTCCCCAATAACTATCCAATTCTGCAGTTCATTTCCGATACCACTCAGCTACGGCCACACAATTATGGCAGAAGTACTTTATCATACTTTTACAAATTCTAAACGAAAACTTAGCAAAATAAATTGTTATAACACGCATCATGTTATTGATATCAGGGTTTTATCCTTGGTTTTGTTTCTCGTTTATTAGCGGACTGTTCTATTAAATGCGTTGAAGCTACGGGGGCAGCTTGTGGAGCAGGATATGTTAACCTTTCCGGATCACCTTATATATACAAGACGACTTTGTGAGGTTTGTGTTGTCAGTCGGTTTTTTTTTTCTTTTTTGCTATGATTTTGCCAGTCTACTGACGAATGTCGAGCTTTCCTGTTTGTGTTTATAATATACTATCACATGCATACACTTTGTTTTTTGCAGTATCTAAATATTTCAGATACATTTATTAATGAACAGTTGCAATTTTGGAACTTGCCTACAGTTGTGCATGTGCTCATTGAGTGATATCGGAAAGTGATGCTATAAATAAATCTTCTCATATAACAATAATTGAAAGAAACACATGCCCATATATCTTGAATATTTTAGAAAAGAAATCGTACCCACTATGTACTGTCGTTTAAAGTAACAGCTGGCTAGTAATACTACCGACAAACACGGTATGAAAGAAGATAAGAGCTTAGTTTATATTTGATACTGAGAACAATTCAATATCTGAGTATATATGCATATCTTATATCTATGTAAAATTCAAATACTAGTATACAAACGTAAACGTTATTTGCAGTCATTGGTAACTTTATACATGTTTAAAAATACTCACATTTAAAGACCAAGCAAGCTTGAGTATATCAAATTTTTAATATAAGTAACGCTTAAGATTAAAATTAATATCTTGTTAGACATATGTAACATATTTTCGTAACAACTATAAAACAGTAAAAGAAATGATAAAATAGAACGATATAGTAATGCATGTTATAAATCTACGAACTACACCATGTACACGACAGTATATAAAATTATGCAACATTATTAAGCTGTTAAATATCATGTGACAATTATGTGATCTCTACAGATTAACCATCACAAAATAACAATGCCAGGAAAAGACCTCGTAGTAAGGACCCTGATAGATATTGAATAAAGAGTTTAGTGTATATTTTGATTGTAAATGTTTGTAGTTATCAAGTGGTTAGTGTTAATAAATAAATAAACATGTGCAAAGAAGCGCAAGCAACTAGCAATTACATAACATAGTATAACACTGATATATAAATAAAAGAAAAAGATGCAAATAAACATTGAAATGTATCATAATAATCATGATTAATACAAAACTACATGTACAAACAAAAATAAAACGGTCTTTTACAAGTTGCTCTTCCGTAACAAAATGATAATGAAAAAGAACATGATAAGTTAATATAATGTTTGTCATTTAATACCTGTAAGTTACTTAAATGCACGGTGCAATCCATCTATTACATTAATTGAGTTAGAAATACTTACCGTAAATATGTTATCCAAAAACAGAAATTGCGATAATTTTGGAATGTAATCAAAATATAAAAAGCGCATATAACGTGGTGTTCCGAGCGGATCTTTGACTGATTCTGTTTCTGTTTAATTCATTCAAAAATGTTATAGAATCAAAACAATTCAGAGCCTGGTATTTTATACAGACACGTTTGCAACATGGAGACCTTTATAATCCCGATTAAAGTTGCCGTTTGGTTGTTGCCTCATTGACGTATATCCAATTTCTCCTTTTACTCGTAGAAGCAAGATTTTGCACTACATTTACGAATCTCTTGGTTGTTTATGCGGTTAAACTTCCTATTAATTTGACTTTGGTCGTAATAACTGTTATGCTCGTGGGACGTGCGCTTGACTTACTACGAATATTTATATGCTTTTTGTATCAGGTATACACTTACCCTTTTCCTTGTAAAAAAGTACACCGTAAATCATCTCTATATCAGAATACATGACATTTGTTTTAGTTCTGGGTGATAATGTGACCAGTAGAATTCGTTTGCCATTTGCACAGTATATGTCGCTATTATGTACGTGTATTCCCAAGTTTTCGTTTGCGTTTGTGCTGACAATTTTGACAACGTCAGTTCCATTAAGATTGGAAGAATTCACATTACCACTCTTTCTTTCAAGCCAAAACAGTCTATCACCATTATAATCTGGAATAAAATTGGAAACCGGGCATTGCATATATTCAAAATGCATTTAAAACTAAAGATCCTTTATTTGATTATCGTGTCATTATTTGTTATAAGATTTACAAACTGTGTTTGTAAACAAATGCAATATTTGTATTATACATTTTCTAAGGAAGTAAGCCTTAGCATTGTTGTTTCTTTTTTGTTTATATTTATCTTTTCGTGTTTATATATTTGCCACAGTCCATCATGTCTATGGAAGGAGATTATTAGTTACATAGTGTGCTAGTGACCTAATACGATATATATGGTGTCTGTACATTCCTTATGGGGTGAGAGCGATGCGTATTAGGTCACTAGCACACTATGTAACGAATATATCTTACCGACTATCATAACATGTGATATGTTGACTAGTGGCTTATCAAATCGATTAAGTCTTCAATATTTAGTTAGCTTTAAATGTGTTTAAAAATTTATTTCAATCGTTCATCATCAATTTCTTCGTCTGTTGAAACCATCATATTTTTCCTCAACACCGTGTTGTTTTTATAAAGGGACGTAACACCACTAGTAGCCGTGTATTGAAATAAGCCCCGCCTACTAACCCCATATGAAATATACACGGTCTCCGCACGTTAGCTTTCAACCAATCATATTCCTAGAAATATATAGGAGGTAAGATAAAAGCTCATATTGTGCTTAAAATCAAATGGGGCCGATAAGCTCTAGATGTTGTCACCAAATATAAAAGTGAAAATGTGTCTTCTTTGCTAGTATAAAACTCGATTGTTTCCATGATACACACACTAACAATATCTTTATAAAATATTATTGACTCATCAGATCGTGATATACTCTAGAGACACAAAGTATATACCTTAGTGTACTCACAAAAAGCTAGTTCAGAGCAAAAACCAGCTTATACACAGATCGTGTATCCAGACAACATAGTAATCGAACACATCCACTAGATATACATTCAAGACATACGAAACTCGATGTAACATCCTGGTAACAATGAACAGTTACAAATTTTAACTATAGGGAGGCAAAAAATACCAATGGGACATTCAAACTCATAACTTAAGTCGAAAATAAACTGACAACGCCATGACAAAAAAAAATTAACAAACCAAAAGAAAACAATAGTAACGAAAACATAACATAGAAGATTAAAGACTGAGTAACAGGAACCTCACCAAAATCTGGGAGTAATCTCAGGTGCTCTGAAATGGTAACCATATTCGGTTAATAGAATTAAAAGGCGTTAAACATTGTTTCAATGTACATATATTTTCATGATAATAGCAAAGATGGAGGTCAAGCAGAAAAGTGACGTAATTCCTATGTCATGTATGTTTCACTCATGGGTAGATTTAGTTTTTTTTTTTTTTTTATCACAGATTAAAAAAGCAATTGTGAAACAAATCAAACTTATTTAATGTTTTAGTGGACAAGCTGAAAATTGTATAAGTGTATATAATCTTGGTTCAATTCCCGAAAAGCAAACTTAAAACATTAACAATAACACCTTTGCAGATAAGCTATTGTGAAAGCAAATTTTACACGAATTATTAACAATCTTGTCATTATCCCTGTATAATGTGAATAATCCCGGATATTTTTTTTTCAGGAGAATATTTATTTAACGCATATAAGGACGAGTCAAGTGACAAACAATTAATTATTCTAACTGAATAGGAAATGTCAGCTCGACTAAAGCACGCTATATGTTGTGTATATACATAAGAAGATGTGGTATGAGTACCAATGAGACAAACAGAAAAACCAACGGTCTAATCTATATAAAAAAAAACGAGAAACGAGAAACACTTATGAACCACACCAACAAACGACAACAACTGAAAAACAGGCTCCTGACTTAGGACAGGTGCATAAATATGCAGCGGGTTTAAACGTTTTAACAGACGCTAACCTTCACCCTAAATAGGATAGTTGATCCAGTAGTCATGGGCATTTGACAAAGTACAAGAAAAAAAAGAATCGAAAGCAACTTTCTACCGTAAATTAGAAATTCGTATATTCCAAGACTGTATTTTAGACAAAGTATAGTATAGTTAGTGTACCAAGGTAATATATGCAGTGGTAAATTGAATTCATACTCATAACGAGATCATGTTATTGTGAAATGAATAATATACATGTTTTGTACTAGACTAACACGCTGAGTTCTATTATATATCGAAACAATTTATGAGGTTGCACTCCAAAGGAAGACGCGTCACCTGTTTGGCCACTTTGTTACTGCTCCTGCAAATCGAGGAAACGATACATACTCAAGTTAGATATATAAGAGAATGCGAATTTAAAAGTACAGAATAAAAGAAGTTCAGTCAAAATATGTAGTATAAATACAAGCATGTTTTATAATTTCCAATGAGACAACTACCCAAAGTTATCCCACAAACGTGAATGTACGCATTTATATTAGTCACCAATGGTCTGAATTATGTACAAGACAATAATCCAAACATGAATTTAGAAAACAACTGAATTACAGTCCCTGACGACTTAGAATAGGCATATAGAGAATGAGGCAGGGTTATTATCATTTTTTCCCTTATAATATTGTTATATGCCATGCAAATATATCATGTTTAAAAATTCAGCTTAAAAAAACTACTCTCAGTTATTGCTAACAACTCGTCCTTCTGGTATAAAAATCCTGTCACCCTGCACTACAAAATATCTCCAATCTCAACGTTGACATCATGAATGTATTATTATCACAAGTTTTTAATAGGTTTGTATGACCATGCATTGTCCATAATGTTGTCATTTGTGGATAAAGTTCTAACATTTTTTTTTACAAATAAATTATGCAATATTCTGATGATATACCTATACTCAAACCAGTGACTTGTTCTGTAGAAACATTTACTACTGTCTGAGTTTCTGTTCCATTTAATCTTGATCGTCTTATTGCACTATTTGTAGGATATATACTGTAATACAACCATCTGCGTATAAAATGACAAAAACAATGAAAAAATACATTATAAAATAATGTTATTACTCTAATATTTCCTTTAAAAAGTGTAAAACTATATGTCCTATTCCAAAGGTATTAAATGTTTGCTCTTGTATTCGCGTTAAGGTGTGTGCTAATACATGATTTGGGTTATACTGTCGACAAAGTAAACAGAACGAATATTAATACGCTATAAGTTAATCAAATAGTACACTTACGTATAGCTCTCGATGTAGTAATGATGTGTTGCTAGGCTACAAGTTATCTTATTTGTATTTATTGTTTCAAATACCATCTTAATAGCTTGTTTATCGAATCGCTTGCTTCATGGGTTGTTTCCAAGATATTTCATTTTCCTTTGATAATTATATCGATAGACCCTTTATATTGATATGTTGCGATTAGATATGATAGCGAAGTACTATTGCATGAAAAACAAAGAAGTCATTGGATGATTTCAAATGAATATAATGATGTTATAATATCTGCTATGCATGTAGAGATTGGTATGCAGAAAATTACAACTGATTTAACAAAGCTTTGTTACACCTATTCCAAAACATATCTTAATTTATTAAGGATGTGCACCAAATTCAGTTTGTAACCAGCTTTGTTTTGGTTTTCATGGGTTGTAGTCAATCTTAAGTCACTGATAGCTATATAATTACAAACCTGTTCCGATAATCTAACGTAAGAGCATATAGTTGACCATTTTGAAGTATTGATATATTATTTGACCCATCGAAATTACATCGCTTAAGCTCTTCTGGTGCCATTCGTTCTGTCCAATATACATGATTGCCTACCGGATCAATAGCGACACCTATTGGCCTTCTTGCCTGGGTCACTGTTTCTGTCATGTAAACTTGTTCTGATGGATAACGAAATCTTGAAAAACAATTAAGAATATATCCATTATATATTTGTTTTTGTTTTTATATATATAGATATAAGAAGATGTGGTATGTATATTAATTTATTTGTTTAGGGGCCAGCTGAAGGACGCCTCCGGGTGCGGGAGTTTCTCGCTGCATTGAAGACCCATTGGTGGCCTTCGGCTGTAGTCTGCTCTATGGTCGGGTTGTTGTCTCTTTGACACATTCCCCATTTCCATTCTCAATTTTAATTATATACAATTTAATTAGTCATTCTATAGAGAGAAATCATCAAAAACTATAACATAGAAGTAGAAAATATATACGGATAAATGAAGAATAACATTGGGATCGATGACTTGGTTCATACATTTATCAATTTAAGAACAAAGAATCAACACTTTTTCAACTGTTAGCGTTGATCTTTTCAAAATTAAGTTTCGAGAACAGGTCATTGGATAATTTGAAATTCTTCTTTACGGTAAACGCCCACAGCACTTTTGTCGAACAATTTTAATCAGTCTGGTGATTTGTTTGTTTTACTACCTCTTTTTATTACGAGAAAAAAGTGTGGACAAATAAACTAAGGTTCGATATCCCTTTTGTCTTAGATGAGATGAACACATTCTTACTGATTTTGTACTAATTTCACTCTTTTAGCTTTTTTGTAGTTTTTTAGCGTCCGAAATTGATTCACACCGCTATTCGATTTTTACATTATCTCTGAAACTTGGCTATGATTGCTGATCAAATTGTTGTTTAAAAAAGTGAAGAACAGGGTTTTAAGGACGACCCTATAGTGAAACATTGTTTGTAAGGACACTAATGTAATTAATGTTTTATCTGTTTGGTTTTATATCTTTTCTAATGTTTTGGTTTTTATACATTTTTGGCTTTCAAATCTTAGGCTTTGATCGTTCCTGATGAAGGTAAATCCAGAAAAACGCTTCGGACGCAGAAACTTCATAGCGTGTTGTTTTCATTTTTTATGTTTATAGTACAGATAAGGAAGTTATTATTCTTTGGTTAAAATTCCACAGGAACATATGACAGACCTTAGATTTCTCAGAATATCCTTCTTGGTAAATGTCGTAAGGATATTTGTTGAGTCATCAGATGAATTAGCTATACCTTACTAATTTATTCACCCGTTTATGTATATGTGGTTTACGCACAACGAAGATGTTGTTTGAGGCCTTATATGCAGGATATAAGCCTACAAGTGCATGGATGATGACACGTTCTTTGCAATATTTGGGTCATTACAGTTAGGAGTAGCACGTGTGTTTGTAGACCAGACAGTTGTTTTGAATTTTTATTTGAATCAACAACCTCAAGGTATAAACCATTCGGGGAGATTATCTACTTATTATATTTCTCATAAGCCCACTACCTGTAAAAATCATCGACTGAAGCCATCTGTTTGGGGACGACCACTTATTCTTTTGGTGGAGGTCCGGAGGATGTTTGGTAGATTGACTATTTTCATGTGTCGCTACCCTTGCTTATATTATTAAAATTATTCATTTTTCAAATCTTTCAAGGCCAGGATATTCATTTCCAAAATCCTCTTGCTCCTTACCCCTCAGAAAATCAAATGTCATTCCCTTAACAACCACTAGAGGTAGCGAAAACATTTTGAAAGATTGCAAGATAAAAGGCAGCAGCACTAACACAAAAAAGTTAACGATGTAACGATGTGATTTGATAATATAAAAGTAAAACAAATAGCTGTTATTGTAAGAACAAGTAGCGTAAAACCATTGCATATTGAAAGCAATAATTTAATAAGTTAAATGCATAAAAGTATTATTTTAATCTATTTGTGTCATGTGAACCAGATTTGCCATTACCTCAATATATCGTTTTTGTCAGCTCTTGGAAAATATATGTATTCGTTGTTAGAGTCATAATCAAAACTATGTATGTAACTCTGTTGGTCGATTAAGATTTCTGATACGTTTCCAGTGTTCATGTTGAATTCTTTAATTTTACCATAAATTGAAAATATGATCTTGTTTTGAAGACCTGAAAAGTAAGTTTAGAGATATTTAAAGATTTGTTTACAATACCTTCTTCAGTACAATACTTCCTATTTTCTTTTTTCTTGTCTATAACACAAGTATGATATCATTTGTTCCTTTATCAGCACTTGGCTATGGACAATCAATTTTAGATAGTAAACGATTTAAAAATTAATAGAAACAGAAACACGGTGTCATATAATATGACCATTGATTCATTGTGTTAAAATAATAATCCGTCATATGAACTCAAGTTCGATACAAAAATGCCTCGGGTGTTTAAGTCCCAAACTGTTTCTTTATTTTTATTTCAGCAGCATTTGTTTCTGAGTATTAAGCACCAGATCATCATCAGCTATGTGCACTAAACAATAGCTTAGAAGTTTTAATTGCATTGAAAAACTGTTGTAAGTTTTTGATATACATGTTTGTTTTTATAGCACAGTGGACTGGGGCGCTGAATGCATTTTAGAGGGCGTTGCCATATTGTCAAAATTGAACAGTCGGTTTATCAACGTCAATAAATGCAAGCATCTTATCAATATAATTGAATTAAACGTAAAACAAGAAAGTAACTTCGTTTATATCTGGGTTTTTTACTTTTTCTACCGACAGTGTATATTGTACAAGGGGTTGAAATCGTTTTAGTCTAATTATTTGAGGTCTATAATAATTCCAAAACAAAAAAACGTTTGAAAGTTTATGATTATGTTCATAATGACTAAAACATTTTATTATCCTGATATATTTTGTCATAATATTTTATAACAAATAAAATTTGTTTGAACGACTTCTTTTAAACCTCCTAACTGTTTTATAGATTTTCAATTGCCATAATGAACACTTAGTTTGTTCGACCGTTGTCTTGAAAGCAATCAAAGATGATAATTCCACAGGTGGTACTATGTTGGGACATAACTCAAAAGAGTGCTTTTAGCATATGCATGTTGTATTGATACTAGATGCTTACTTTCTATTACTACAAAGACCTGCAAAAAAGTTGAATATCACTGTTGTCATGTTTGTGCTTGTAAACCAAAACTTCGAATTAGAAAAAAAAGGTAGAGAATTTAAAAATTACAACGTCAAGTAGTCCCTTCAACATTATAAAACCAACAAAAACATAAATCCCTGCTCAGTTAGAAAGCCTCAAAGGTAGAAACTTTAACTTGATACACACTTTGTGTTTTGCATTTGATATGATGACAATGTGCTGTTTCGTGTGTATTGATTTTGACTCCTGACTATTTTGATTTCAGTGCCAATAATACTTTTCGTGATTAATATTGTTATACATTTAAATGTCTTACCTTGATTAATAAAGCTGACAAAAAGGAACATTTCAGACAATACCATCACATAACATTTCATATTGTTGTAAACTGCGTAAATAAAAACTGGATTATTCAGTACTAAACATAATTTTTCATAAAAGGAAGGTACCCTGAAATACTTTTAAAATATAAGCTGCGTTATTTTGCAACACGTGATTTGTTCTAATAGAGATAACATGTTTCATAATAAGACGGAAACAATACGAAAACATTTAATTGATAGTAATTTAAAGAAAAAAAGGGAACATATAGAAAGAAGACTTTATCAGATCAGAACCTATTTTCACATGAATAGTCATTATACTATATTCACAGTTGTGACATTTGTACACTGATAACATTACTTTTTATTTGTTTCAGATGATTCACAGTTATGGCAACTGATATGACAAAAACATAGATGGGAGCTCCGTGAGTGTGAACCTTGATGATGGTAAACCTAGAAAGTGGTACGGACTAATGAAATTTATTAAGTGTTATTCTCATTGTTGACTATGTCTAAATATCAGAGGTTTTGAATATTCTTTGTCACTGTAAATGTTCATAAAATGTTCAGTTAGCAAAGCATACATCAGTGTATATTTGTAAATTGACATCCATTTGATTGATAATATACATAACGTATTTAAGTATCCATGAAATCCTTTTGAAAACACAGTTGTATGTATCCTTTTTAGCTAATGTCTCGTTGGAATTATCAGTTCCAGCATTTTGCATTTAGGTTGTGTTCAGAGAATATTATATTTTCTGAGTGATTTCAATTGATTAACTCTGTGTTTATTTATTAACTGCATTAATGGTTTTAGATGTACACTCATTTGGAAACGGTTGAACGTTTTATCAACAAATTACGTTAAAAGATTCCATACTGTTTTCGAACTTGATGTTTGTTTCGCTCCTTTTGGTTCATTCTTATGTCCTCATAAAATATCAAAAGAGAGCATTATTTTATCATGTATAAGAGTTGGTCCTTCACCTTTCCGCGTGTTTTTCGTAGATACCTTTTTTTCAAATTTAACCAAGTGTTGAATTCAATACTTGTACGACAAAATATATAGTTTAACTAAACAAGTATCAGTTTACTGTCGCGATTTTATCTTTTTTATGTGAATCAAAAATGTATTGTCACGGGGACATTTAAATGTATGACTGAATCCATATAATTTTCTTGTGTATACAACTGGGTCGGGTCAGATAATCACTTTTCTTTGTTAAATGAAGAGCTGATTTCTTAAACCGACACGAACACATTTATCTTTTATATTAACAGCGATATATTATTTTTAATGGACACTTGGCAAATAAGTAAATAGACAATTCCGTGTCCGAATTACAATGAGTTGTTGCGGTCGTCACAAAATTTGACAACCAGTAGCTATAAAACTACATCAGATAAAAATGCATTTGTCATGCGTTATGAGCAATCGACGTTGATATTTTGATATTAGACCTCGGAGAGACTGTGGACATGTATTTTTTGTTTTTGAATTAATGAGAATAACTAAGATAAAAGTAAAAACAGCTTTTTATATGTATGACTTACCAAATCTCTTTGTCAACGTTCTTTAGTTATAATTTCCACACGATACATAAGTTTCAAATCTATATAATTACTATTGCCCTGGATTTTTAAAGTGAACCAGTTATTAGCCTGATTTGACAAACATCAATGCACTTCAGTAATTTTCAGTGTATTTCCGTATACGTCATATTGTAAGAAAAGATGTGAAATTGAAATAAACGATTTGCGAAGATTCATTTTATAATTACGAATACGTGTTTGGTTTACATTTTTTTTTCAAAAATTATGCCTTAATGAATATTTGATGAAAACTAGATTTCTCTATATGCCATTTCTCTTTGTTGACATACTTGTTTGTTTTTATATTGATTAAGATTATAACACAATGTTGACTGCTGTAGCCCTATTTGTTGCATTTGTACTTTGTTTTGTTTTGTTCACACATTGTTGTCAATAATTATTTGACTTAAATACAAGTGAGAAGTTTAGCTAGCTATAAAAACAGGTTTAATTCACCATTTTCTACGTAAGGAAATGCCTGTACCAAGTCAGGAAAATAACAGTTGTTTTCTATTGTTTGATTTGTTTGATTTGTTTGAACTATTGATTTTGCCTTTTGATAAGGGACTTTCCGTTTTGAATTTTCCTTTGAGTTCGGTATTTTTGTTATTTTACTTTTTATAGTATAACAGTGACTTGTAAATAACAAATTATACTAATGAGTTCCATCTTTTTTTACTTATCATATGCCAATTTTTATATTGTTACAATGCATATGAATTATCAAAGAAAGTGATGAAGTAAAAAATTCAGAAAGTGTCACTTTGTGGAATGTAAGTTGATATCTATTTTTGTATACACCATATTTGTTTCAGACTTAGTCGACCACTGGTGGAGTTTTAAACGATATCAAACACCGAATCTTTCAATATCTCCAAGCGGTAAATGAAAGCCACCCTTACGTTGACAAAGGGAAACAAAAATGATTTTTTTTTAGTTATGATTGTTTTTATACTGGTTTTACTTAATAAAGTATGCAAGACCCTTTGACTACTGCGTAAATGAAACGGTTGAAACTATCAGTCCCGAGGGTATCATCAGCTAAGTAGTCAATACTTCGGTACTGACATGATTTATATCAAATCTTTCTAAAATTCTCCGTTTATAAATTTTGAAATTATAAAGAAACTCAGGTTTCAACTCTATTCGGCAAAGTTAACCTTAGATGGATTTGGCTTTTTTTTAGGTGCTGTTTGGTTATTTAGCTCTTCAACTGTTTCGGTTCTTAAACATCCTCAGCTTTCAAATATTCGACTTTGGATGCTCTTGATGAAGGTAAATCCAGAAAAGAGCTTCGGACGCATGAAACTAATAACGTGTTGTTTTCATTTGTATTTTAGGTCCAAGGTTGCATAAATGTTGTCGAAATATCGCTATGATCGTTTTTTTACTGAACACAACAGTAACAGTCCTAATTGGTTAATACAGCCCATAAAGATTTTTCTCCTTTGAATTGCTGAATATTTTGTAATTTTGGAGCCTTTTATAACTTAATATACGATAAGGGTCTAGCACATTTTCGAAATGTTATTAATTAAGAAAAGTTATAATAATAATTATCAAGATGTCTTTGGGTATTTGATGCTTTTCTTTGTAGGATGAAAGCATCAAATACTGCATCTCTTGATCTTTGCCATAGAAACAAAACAAAATTACTTAGATCATTTGCATGAACCCATCCTACACATGGATGATATTCTGCTCTCTATTGTCCAACTCAAAATTGTCTTGCAGGAACATCATCCCTGAATACCTGCAATAAAAACTTAAATGTCATCATTATCAGATGTTATAGGTTCAGATAGTATTTCCAAGTATTCAATTTTTGCTGCTATGTATCTAAATTGTTCTAAGTGATTGTTACCTGATTGGCTGAAAATGAACTGTTTTAGATTTCCACCAAGGCATTGCATGTTTATTTGTTTATGGTTTTTTATTTCTCTTGCTACTCGTCATATGTAAAGTATTTAGCAGGATCATACAGCCATGAAGTGATGCTGTATACTAAAGAATGGTGTATGATGCTCCTGTGGCTTGCCAAAGTGTCTCTTGTTTTGTCATTTCAATGCGTTTGAGGTGTTCTATGTTTTCCAGAAAGAGTTCTTGTTTGCGGTTTCTGTCCGATCCTTATTTTATGAGATTAAATAGTTTAGTCTTAGTTGATTAAGAGGGGATGTGTTACCATATATTGCGATCAAATTCTGTTCCAATGGTCTTTCGCTGATCGTTGTTAAAATTATTCTACTTGTTTCAAATTGTTTTCTCATTAGAAGTTGACATATGATACCTGTTCCTTTATATCATGCTTCATAGGATATGGCTGGGAGTTGGGAGGGAACAATGTGTTATGTTTACTGTTACAACTTGTTTATCCTTCTAATCCCTTTGTATCATGCTTCATAGGATATGGCTGGGAGATGGGAGGGAACAATGTGTTATGTTTACTGTTACACTTGTTTATCCTTCTAATCCCTTTATATCATGCTTCATAGGATATGGCTGGGAGTTGGGAGGGAACAATGTGTTATGTTTACTGTTACAGCTTGTTTATCCTTCTAATCCCTTTATATCATGCTTCATAGGATATGGCTGGGAGATGGGAGGGAACAATGTGTTATGTTTACTGTTACAACTTGTTTATCTTTCTAATCCCTTTGTATCATGCCTTGTGGTTTAGAAAAATATCAACTGTCAAGGTATTATTTCCTATGCACTTTAAATATTCCTACAGAATTTTATTTAGAATCAAATTGTTATTGATGTTTTTTTTTTTTTTTTCAGTATTCTCGTTTTCTAAGCTTCTGTTTACTCTTTGCTTGACATTACCTTTGCTTTCGAAGAAATAGCAAAGAGGCAAACTATGTCATGCTCACGGAATTAACTTGTTAAAGAGAGAAAATTGTAAACATCATAAAAAAAAAATATTTATCTTGCAAAACTTTAATATACAATTATGGCCCGTAGAGAAGTTGAATATCCAAAATCGTCAACACGAAAAGGTTATTTCACTGAGGTCGCAGGCCGAAGTGAAATAATCTTTTAGGGTTGACAATTTTGGATATTCATCGCTTCTAAAGGGGTCACAATTGTTTTATTATACCGAACTAAAAGTGGATGGCCTTTTGAAACATTGAAAAAACACGTAACCTACTGTATCATAACAAACACAAGTTAACGTTCAAAAGAAATTTGTGTCATAGAATTTCTCATATGTAAAACAAAGGAAGAATCTTTTTGTGAAACATTGATGGCCCTGAAAAGGACCGTTTATAAGAGATATCCTCGGCACTATATGCATTTCCAAAGCCTTGTTTCCTCGTCACTTGATGGGCTTCCTGTAACTTGAAGCTGAACGTTGCCATTTTGTTTACTTACTTCTGTGACGTCATTTTCAAGGGAGTTAACTCGTGTACAAATCAAGAAACTCAAAAGGTTATTCATTGGTGAATAATAGGGTTATTCAACGCTGGTGTAAATTTTTAGGATTATTCGTCCATCCTTGCAATTAAATCATAATTAACTAAATTATTCCATGTCACTTGATAATGTGTTACCTAATATAATTGTTTATAATATATGTAAGGTATAATTATATTTGTTGTTTATAAGTCCTTTGTTGGTGAAAGCAAGATGAAATATAAAATTGGTTGACAAATTTCATATATAAATGATCCTCTTTGTAAAATGCAAATTTCCTGTTGTTCATTTAGTTTATATTCATTTAACTCTTCATGCAGATTACAGTTTTGGCAAGTGACAATTTTGTTGATATCTCACAAAACATGTTTAACCCCGCCGGATTATTGCGCATGTCCCAAGTTATACTCTAGCCTTTGTTAGTAATGTGTGTTCCTTTTTTTTTATTTTGTTTGTTTGTATGTTTCGGAGTTTAGTGTGGCGTTCATTGTTCTGAAATTGTATACATTATGATTTAGGGGTCAGCCCACCTCCGGTTAGTGGATTTGGTCCATGCGTTGACGACACATTAGTGACCTTGTGCTGTATTCTGCTCTTTGGTTAGGTTGCTGTATCTTTGACACATTCCATATTGTCATTCTCTATTCTATCATAATTTTGTTATAGTTTAATCTTGATATAATTCATTTGTGATCGTTTGGTTTCGCATAATTCGGATTAACTGAACTATTTTTTAGAATGTTTATACATTGAAAATCTACTTCTTTTGATATGAAATAAAATGAAATCCCTGGACTAAAGAATCGGATAAAACAAAACAAAAGAACAAACAATGTATATACAGCAAGAGAACCACTGTCAGCATATTTAATGGACTTAATATCCAACAGACAGACCGACAAATATACCGAACACATCTAGAGGGCAAAACATAGTCTTTAACATATATTGAACACTAAATCAAAAGTATTTCATAAAGAAATAGGGCAGACGTAGCGTTTTGTTTCACACCATGAACATTTTAAAAGTCTTTCAACCTTATTACAGTTATGTGTTTTACAAGGGTCACCGGTCCTTCACCTTTCATATGATACCTTAATCACTAAAATATATACTATCTAGTTTTAAATTTACACATATGCGTAGGAACTATTTTGTTTAAAATATATACTACTTTCCAGTTTTTCTTTGACCGGACCCGATTTGGTGGAGTTACATCTTACAAAGTCTGTTTAAGTAGTTTTTGCCAAGAATTGCGCTCACGCCGGTTCCTGGGGCCATTTTAAACTTGCAGTGAGGTGAAAGTTTTTTGCTCCGTGTTGAAGACCTTACTGTGACTTTGAGATGAAGAATAGGAATTAAAAGTGCTGTACTTTTTGGTATTTTGTGTGTTTTGAAGTGCATGTACTGATTTTGTGTCATGGATGGATACCCCATATTCTTTGTTTTTCTATTACAATTCACAGATCGAAGCTCCTGGTGTTTGCTCTATGCATGAGTGGATATTACTGTGTGCTTAGAATAATGCAACATTAAATGAAGGTCTATTGATACCTCAAACCACAATCTAGATACATTTCGATAATGATGAGTTTGTTGGTTGAAAAGAGAATAAACTAGATGTGCCAAATCTATCTTGTAAGTAAAACAATGTTTTTACCTTCAGAAACAAATACATGCCTTTTGGTATGCACAACAGTTCAAGAAAATATCAAATTTGCAATATTCTTGATTGGGTGGACAGGCTGGTCCCTGATTCCCACTTCCCTACCCTCTAACTCCCACTTTTCTCTCCATTTACTACCGATTCCCTCCCTAGCTACTCCGACTTCCCTTTAGCCCCTTACTCCCAGACAAAAATTGGTAAAAAATGATCCCCAGAATATCACTATGTTTACTCCAACTCTTCCCGCCCTTCATTCATATATTCTGATTTCCCTGTCCTCCCGTCATTCTTATACTAGTCAACAAAAGTAACGATACACAAGTCTGAACTCAAATTTATCATAAAATATAATAAATAGGAAAAACTGTTAAATTATCCAATAAAAAACATGCATTTGCAAAGCAAATGCATATGATTAAAAGAATCTGACTAAATTAATGGAAAGCGAGAAAATACCGTGTTATTGAACACCGGGATCAAATTTATTTTGCGGAAAATGATGACAAAAGTCGGCACTTAATTTCGAAGATGAGAATTAAGTAATCAATTATCTGCAAAGGCATTCAAAATTTTAAGCAAACCATGTTTAAGTTTAAAATTCTAAGTTCTAATATCGACTTTTGAATTTTTGGTGAACATACGAATTTTGAAATAGCAAAAATTGCAAAAATAAATTGCGTATTTGGCTTAAATCAATGGTTTCGATAAGAAAATAGTAGTCTGTAAATATAATACCAATTGGACAATTATTTACCTTGATACAGTGTATCCAGTTTCATTATATATGGAAAATACATTGCCTTTATTGTTTCTTTTGTTGACTAGTATATTATGAAAGGCCTTCAAAAAAATATATAATGGTAAAGAACTGTGTTGCTTCATGAATGAAATTATAATTAATGTTTATATTTTGCAAGCATATAAATGAATTTCAATGTCTATACATTTCCGTTTTTTACCCTGAGAGCGGATCATATCCATGTAAAATTAGTCTTTCGCCTCTTTCACAGAAACAATACAACAATATGCGATAACCTGTCAGTTCTGTCAATATCGAAAACATTCGAATGTGGTATGAGACAACCGACTGGATTCTCTACTTAAAACGTGGAACCAGTTTTGCTAGAATAGAATAACTTAAATCCTCTAACTGTACATGTAGTAACAGTATAGATATTATATCGCAAAGGATCAGACGATTTATAGTATTTTGAAATTGGTACCGTTTGCATGTTTATCTGGGAGAAAAAAGTATGAACATATTGTTTTATGAATTATATTAGAGAGACATGTTATTTTATTTGCAACATATATATAGTTTTTTTAAATCTTGAGTTCTCGGCTGATCTCCAATTTCAATTTTATATTAGCTTACACTTTTTATGAATTTCTCATCTTCTTCAAAATCAAACGAAACAAATCAATAGTTCCTTTCTTGTGGACATTGTTCTGAATTATAGAATTAACAAATTAATATTGTAAACATATGTCCTCAGTCTCTCCAAAAAACTCCAAACATAAAACTCGACCTGTCATTTATTGCAATAGTCTCTATTTTTCTTGTTGTTTTGGCGACACACATGAATTCTGAAGAAAACAAATACATTATTATACAGTTCATTCAGAAGACTTTCTACATGATAACATTATTTATATATACATAAAGGTGTTACATGTTGTTATCTTTGCAGCTTATGGTATTAAAAAATACTCCTTGTGTCTTAGGTACGAATGTCCTATCAGTTGCATTTTAAAACGTTCGATTTTACGTCAAATGTAATCAGTTATTTTTCTTTTCTTTTCTTTATTATTAATTCTAAATTATATTGGTTTTCCCAGAAAACACTAAATAACTATGGCAATACAAAATCTAAACTGCAGACTATATTATTCACTTGCGATTAAAAAAGAGGCAAAAGATACCAAAGGGACTTCAAACTTTAAACATTAAACATTTTCAATACACCTTTAGAAGTAAAAACGGGCATACTCCTTTTTATTTATTACAAATGAATAACACTGTTTTCATACTTTGAACACTCTAATAGGACTATATGTTTGATTTATTTTTTCACATTTCCAAGAAACACGATAATTTCGTAAAGCAGCAAATCCTTTTTGACCAATGTGTATTGTAATACCGTATCTAAAAGGTGTGTTTGCATCGGGTTTTTTTTCTCTATTCTTTTTTACGAACATTTCAGTCATATATGTATGAAAGCTTTAGACGTTCTTTTGGAAGTTCAGGAAAGAAACGTGTCAGACTTCCAATTATAATCGGAAGGTTCATGTGTAGTAATTCATTATTCGACTGCATTAAGTGTCAATAGATAAATTTAAATACAACCTAATACTTTAAATATTTAATGCATCTGACGCGCTGTTGTGCATTTACCTTTATTAGAAACGCCCTACATTAAAGGATGACAGCTGTTGATTCTTATATTTCTGGAGCTATATGACTGAAAGGTATTTTTAAAACCATCATAAGTCATCTTTTTTTTTAAGTTACGCTTAAAACTAAACTTTTTAAAACCTAGAATATACAAATTCTAAAAAATGTTTATGACCAAAAGGAACCAACAATGTTAGGGACATTATTCTACATACAGTCATTGTAATTCGATGGCAAAAAGTAACACACTTGATCTATTTTTTTTATAGTCTTTCTAGTAAATACTCTGTCAAAGCTGATGATACTTAGACAAAACAAACACCTCATTGATCTCAGAGACAGGTTCCCACTAATGACAAGATTCAATACACCTTTTTTGTTCAATTGTACTCCAATCACCCCCAGTTTTTGGGTTCGCGTTGCTTAGTCTTTAGTTTTCTGTGTTCTGTCTTGTGTTCTATTATTTGTCTGTTTGTCTTTTTATTTTTTAGCCATGACGTTGTCAGTTTATTTTCGATCTATGAGTTTGACTGTCCTTCTGGTATCTTTCGTCCCTCCCTCTTCTAACAAATTCTTCCGAAATATGTTGATCATTTGTGAAGTGTACAGCCGTTTTACTCACCTTAAATTCGATTTTTTATATCCGTTATCAGTTTATCAAAGATGTACCATGCATTCCTTTTTGATACTGCCGGTCTTGTTTAGTTTATAATCGTTTAGTTTCCTTTAAGTAATACATTTCTGATTTAGTTGTCACATGTGTGTATCCCATGAAAAACAATCAAATAAAAACATCTAAAACAAAGCAACCTCATTAATTTATATAACTGCACCGAAGTTTACAATGGCGAATAATAAAGACACTTTCATTGAAACACCCCTCTGTTTTACAATTAATTGTGATGTTCTGTGATGTATGTTAAAAAAAACCCCAACAAACTGGTATCCTTTTTAAAAGAATTTAAATCTTAAACGACCGTTTCGATTTCAGCATAATTTGCAAATGTCAAGTCTTGTGCGGGAAGTTGGTTTTGTTTGTTTATGCAATAATGTTCAAACATTTTGCATTTGCTCAATCTCGTTCTCTTCAATAGTTTATTAGATAGTTGAATATTTTGTGTTATTTACAGATAAAAAATGTCTGTCCATTGACAACACATACATTGTTGTTCCTGTATTGCCTGCCAGCAAATTGTATGAATAATTCTAAGTTTGTAGCGGAGGATAAGTCTTACAATGTAAGACTTGACATGACGTATCGTTTATTGCTCATTCTGTAAAGAGCTGTCCAGATCAAATATAGTTTCCTTATATTTTCAAATCTTTTTTTTTATTTTTCCATTGTTTAAGAGAGGAAAAACTTTTGATTTTTTCAAATCACTAAAGCTCAGTTATTAGTCTTTGAGAATTAGATACATCAAAAGTCGTATGATCTAGAGACCTACCGATTGCAACTGCTTCCTTAATGTCAGACTTTGATTAAATACACCTGCTGCATTTGTTTGCACCTGTCCTAAGTCAGGAACCTGTTTCAGTGGTTGTCGTTTGTTGATGTGGTTCTTATGTGTTTCTCGTTTCTCGCTTTTTATATAGATTAGACTGTTGGTTTTCCTGTTTGAATTGTTTTACACTTGTCATTTTGGGGCCCTTTATAGCTTGCTGTTCGGTGTAAGCCAAGGCTCCGTGTTGAAGGCCGTACTTTGACCTATAATTGTTTACTTTTTACAAATTGTGACTTGGATGGAGAGTTTCTCATTGGTACTCATACCACATCTTCTTATTTCTTTATAGTATGGAACGCTTAGACCCTTGACATATTGTCCGTTTTGAATTCATCTGTGTTACTACTATTTTCTTATATTTCATAGGCATTCGTGCAGAATTAACAAATTGGTTTGGATATAAATAATCCTACTCACCATTGAAAGTCAGTAAACACACAGCGATTCAAATAAAATAACTGATTATATATTCAAACACATTATCTATGCTTAAAGAAACTAAGAAAACACTATAATTGAATAACTTCTCCAATTACCACTATATAGAAAACATACATCACCAATTCATACTTCGTTTTTTTTTTTTTTTTTTTTTTTTTTTGAGCTTTTTAACTTTTAACTTATTTTTTTTCGACCGTCACTGTTGAGTCTTTTATAGACCAAACGCGCGTCTGAAGTACAAAATTCAATCCTGGTATCTTAGATTAGTTCATTGATTGACAACATGTTCTTTCATGAAACATCAAAACTGTATTAATCATAAAACTACTTTGCATGAATGATACATTTTTTAAAATTTGTTTATACAAATAATTGTCACACAACAAATAAAGTACTATTAATTAGTGTATTGTTAAGCATGCATAATTCGTATAATTGCAAAGCGATAGTATTAATGCGAAGGAATACAATACAGCAATAACATGTGACCTTTTATTTTAATTTTTGAACATTCAAATACGAAATTAATGATGAATTTTGATCTGTTTTGTAAGGGTCTTATAACAACTCAATTTTCAAATAGTTACAGACTTTGCATAGAGATTTTTCAACCCGAAATAGGTTAACAGATGTATTGATATTCATATTTTTAAGGTCGATTTCTATCCGACGCAGCTCAAGGAGTACATCAGCTGTTTTTATAATACGATTTATTCTGTAAGACTGTCGTCTTATAACATATTTATACACGGTATTAATTATTTTACTGAACATTTGGTCATGCGCAGACAGTGATAAATATTCAAGTGTTGCTCGTTAGATGCAGTACCTGTTTATAGAACATCACACTGGCTAAGTTCAAAATGTAGTATAATAAACGAAAATTTGATAGTGTTAGACATGCAATTTCTTGAGATACTATTAACTAGCCCATTTTGATAAACAATTGGTACGAGTTTCAACAATTATGTTTATACCCAGATTCTTCATACATGTTGTCAACACATTGTTGTCAATATAATGAAATTCTATACGATTGTCATACAAGTGAGAGGTTAAGCTAGCTATACAACCAGGTGTAATCCACCATTTTCTGCATTAGGAAATGCCTGAATGAAACTCGGAATAAGACAATTGTTTTTCATTCGTTTGATGTGTTTAAGCTTTAGATTTCACCATTTGATAAGGGACTTTCCGTTTTGAATTTTCCCTGGAGCTCGGTATTTTTGTTATCTTACTTAGTACGTATTTAGTAAAAAAAAATGCATGGATGAAAAAAGCGATCAGTTAAGCTAGCAAGTTCACATATTTACATAATTGCGAAAAAGTAAATAAAGAATGTGAAAACATAATTGTGTTAAATAATACATTTCTGCTGAATTTCAAACCAAATGAACATAATCACTGCTTACTGTATAATTAATGCTAAAACACACTGATGAATCATTACAATAAGAAATGTATAACGTAATCTACTTCAATGAGATAATCCATCGTCGTTTGTCTAAAATTAAGGATATTACTAAATGCAGTGAATTATTTAAATTTATTCAACTGGTAATCAATTTATAATTAAGAAAATATAAACCTGTTTTAAATTGTTTCTTTTTAACAAAATTTAGATCTATCACTTAAAAATACTTTTCATATTTCCTTTTTAAAAAAAATTAGAATATCGAATATGTTAAGTATACGTACGTGTTTCATGGTTTTCATCATGAATAAATACACTATATATTATTCCTGTATTATTGTAAATGACATGCGCTGATACTTCTTGTGTCACATTAAGTAAAGAATTACCATTTGCACAGTACACGTTTCCTCGGTACACATGGATATCTTGGTTTTTATTGTTTGTATTTGTGTTAAAAACCGTTATGACACTAGTTCCATTTAATGTTGATGATTTCAAGAATCCATTATTGAATTCCATCCAATAAAGGCGATCTTTATCATTATCTAATGAAGAAAAAAAACTTCGGCCGATTACATGAATGTGACATTGATTTGAAAACAATCTTATTGTACCCAACATAGTATACTTTGATTTATATGAATAAATTCAAACAGACTGTGTTTTCAATTCCTTGTCCGGTTAATCGAAGGCACTGATATTCAATAAACATGTCTTCAGATGATCATATTAAAATAGGCGTTAGATACCAAAAGGGAAAAATATCTTTTTAAGTCATATAAAGTCAACAACACCATGGCAAAAAAAAAACAAAAATTACAAACATATCTGCAGGAACATTAATATACAAAACGATACCGGGAAAAGTAAAGACTGAAAACACGAATATAACAATCAACCATGGATTTTCTTAGATGTTGCGGAAATGAAAGCAGTGGTTGTATTCAGATAACGACATTCTACAATCTATTTTTAAACTTAAAAGTGAATGGTGATAGAACATGTTTGAATGACACAAGTATTAAAACAAAAACATCAAAGATGATATGCTTAAAATTCTATTTGAAAAACACGCATGCTTCTAAAAATAAATCCTGTCCAATGTTTTACCTGTCCAATTATCCGGTAATCAAATTAACTGCTTTTACATAATTTGATTGCAATTATTTGAAGTATCGAAAAATATTTATCAATGTGTTTATTACAAAACAATGTAACAATCACCTTGGTCTTACACCTGACAAGTACACATAATTCGTATAAATATTACAAAATAGTTGATTATCAAAATCATAGTAAAGTATAAATGAACATATATTTTGTGTACATGGGCAGTTGGATGCGTTACATATTAAAGTACAGTCAGTTCTATTTCTACAAAAACCGTAAAAACATTAGTTATCAAATTGCAAGGGATCATCCTTATTTTGTAATGTATGGCTAAAATGATTATGTGACAAATTATATAGCATTTCCGTTGTTAGTGTTATTATTTTAAGACAACATACCAATGCTCATACCAGTAACTAGTTCTGATTGAACATTTATGATTGTTTGATTTTCAGAAGCGTTAAGTTTCAATCGCCTAATTGATTTTTTTTGTACCATCCGTACTGTAATACAGCCATCTGAAATTTAAATAAATAAAACGATGATTGCCTGAAGTAAAACAGTAAATATATGTGTAGCATTTCTTACATAGGGAAGAACGACTGACATCGATACTTCAAAGGTTTTACCGTCACCAACATCTATTTGTTGAGTAAAACAATATGTCGTGACTCTAGGTTTTACAGTCTTAGATCCTAAAATACAATTATAATCGTCTCACTGATTCTTGATTAAATATGTTGACTGAGTGTGGATTCGAATGGCAGGCTGAACATGCCTAGCAAGAGACGTATTTCCTGTCGATACACAAAGTCTCGGTCTTTTTGGAATTCATGAGATTCCCTCAGTTTTTGTACGCTGCCTTGATTTGTTTTGTTAAAGGATTGATTTGATTTGAAACTACCGTTATCTTAAGCAATACACTGCCTACATTAGACATGTCAGGTAATTTCTTCAATTATAGGGTTTCGTTCAATATTATCAGATATGACAAAGAACATTATGAATAGATAGTAGCTATACAAATAGAGGGAAATAGTACGATAGGGACATTATATGTCGCGAAAAAGGCTTTTCGAAGAATGCTTGTTAATATCGAAGGGGATATTGCGACTCAACATATCTTTCTGTCTGCAATTGGAAAATGATAAAAGAGTAACACAACGGTTACAATGCTCTTTTGTAACACTATTATTGTAAATAGAAATAAAAAGATTTGTTATGAGTGCCAATGAGACAACTCTCCATCCAAGTCACGATGTGTGAAAAGTAAACAATTATAGGTCAAAGTACGGCTTCAACACGGAGCCTTGGCTCACACCGAACAGCAAGCTTTAAAAGCCCCAATATGATTAGTGTAAAACAATTCATTTAGGAAAACCAACGGTCTAATCTATATAAAAAATTACGTTGATATGTTATTTAATATATATTTTGAGTTTAACGTGTTTTTGTAATTTTCTAATACAAACCTGTTCCGATAATCAAATGTGAGAGCAAAGAGTGGATCATCCTTCAATATAACTGATTTTAGTGACCCATCTAAATTACATCTACAAAGCTTCCCGGAGGATCGTTCTGTCCAATACACATGGTTATATAAAGGGTCAATCACCAATCCTACTGGTCTGCTTGCAAAAGTAACAGGTACTAAATCCGTCATTTGTCCTGGTGGATATCGAAATCTTAAAGAACCAAAAATTATAAACAAACGTGTAAACTATAACGATATATAATTGCATTCTTGTATAAGCGTTGAAACAAAAATTTAACTTCGTCAGCTATGCAAATATTTAAAAAGAAATGTTATGCTTCAATTCTAGAATTCAAGTGTGTATGCCATGTAACCATCAAAGCAATAGTAGTACTTACCTTAAACATGTAATATGATATTCCGTTAAGTTACATTATGCAATTAATGAGTCATACTAGTCTAAATATGGTAGGTAATGAATATCTCCACTTTTGAAAACCGTTTAACACTTGCAGTTTTTAACTTAATTTGTTTATGACACATTTTGAGCATGTATGACATTATAGAATATGCAAACCTTTCAAATAGTACTGTGTTGTTAAAGCTAGTATAGTTAAAATTAGTTTCAATGGTATTCAAAATATTGTCTGATTATAGTTGAAAGTAACTAAAAAATGGTCATCAACCTCTTTGTATCTTTGTATATCATTTTTTTGTATATCTTGAAAAATATATATATCCATTTCTATAATCATAGTCTACAGAATAGATAAAGCTATGAAGGTCAGTCTGAAGTTCCAATTCTTCTCCATTTTGCAAGTTAAGTTCTTTGATAGTACCATAAGTCGAAATGATAAGCTTATTTTGAAAACCTGAAATTGAAATTCAACAAATATCCACTGTTAATTTTACAACTTGTCAATAGTTTGTTGCAACATAAAGTCAAAAATACTCATTCACAACTGCTATCTATGCATTAGTTATCATTTAAATCAAAAGCATTTGGCCCATACTCTTATATTATTACATAATAAAATAGTGATCAGATTTACAAGAGAAAACAAGAAAAACGAATGAAATCGTTATAAATGTAACAACGTATTGCGTATCTATTTTTACACTAGACGCAGACTAATTTATCATCTAACAGAATCTTTGAGGATTGTTGATAGTAATTTGTCCCTGACCAAGTTTATATATACATATCAATATCAACAGATAGACGTAGCTTTAAGCAAGAGTTTATTATATAAAGATGCTTCTAATATATCTATAACGAAAGACTATTCTTTTATATTATATGTGTATCAGAAATTTTTAAATATGATACACTGATTTGAAAAATTATTGAGAAGTTTTGAATTTATTAATTTGCATAATAAGTAATAGCACATTCACAAAAACTACACATTGAATGGGACAAACAGAAACACACAGAGAGAGAGAGAGAGAGAGAGAGCGAGAGAGAGAGAGAGAGAGAGAGAGAAGGAGAGAGAGAGAGAGAGAGAGAATGAAAGAGAGAGAAATACAACAGAAATAATCGAAAATTGTACGACTAGGTAAAAGAAACATGATAAACATATACGATTTTTTTACAACTTGATAAAATGAATTTGTAGTCCGTATCGTTAAACAAACATGCAATACTGAATACAGTCACTAAAAAACTATGATTATCATATTATCCTTATAATTATATAAAATAACTGATGCTGTTTAAAATTATGTTCATTACTTACCTTGACATCTTAAGCAGAGGCAAATAATCAATTCAGAGATAGTCAACATATCTTTTAACATCTTGTTGAAATCTACAGAGCATTGACAAGCTATTGATAGTATTATCTATTTTTATTTTTAAATTACTGATCTATTGTTGTTGTTTTTGTTGTCTGTACATGTCGTTTAATGTTGACGTATTATTTTGTGAGAAGTTTCTTAGGTTAATCGAATCATTGAATAAAAGTCTCATCAACTGACTGTGTTTGTATTGGTCCTTTAAAAGATTCTCGATCGGCTGTATTAGCCCTCGATTCTTCGTGTGCTGGGGCCTATACAGCTTACCTGGAATCTACAATAGGACCAATACAAGAACAGCCAGTTAATGACACTATATATATATATATATATATATATACATATGCGTGATAAATAAACAACCAACAGTATGTTGTGTTGTTAATTAAAACTTTACGTAAATTAGTACACCCCAAAATTTGAAAGCAATCATATAACGTTGTTCTGTTGATACTAAACAATACGACTAATACTTCTAAAATAATGAGTAACACATCGATATTTATTTGCACAATAACCGATCTAGGATGATTGCAACGTTTGTCATATGTTTTTTTGCTCCTCTACATTGATTACTGTCCTTGAAAGAGATAAACTTTCTCCTTGCACAATACACCATTCACTATAACAGTATGCACCATGCACCTTTACAAATAGCAATTACATAATACACCATACGTCAGGCAAACATAATCTCAGTTGGCCTTTAAGTTCTTAATGTTTCTCCTTATTTATACATTCATGTCTTTCAAATGTTTTGGTTTAAGCATTTCTGATGAAGGTTCATCCAAAAATGCGCTTCCGGAATTGATAAAGTGTCATTTCCATTTACGCAGTTCACTATGCATGAATACATCAGACACCATTCTCAATATATCATACAAGACCATACACTATATCCCTTCGTTTCCTCCTTTAGCATTTGAATCATAAATGATGCACATCATTCAAAATTAGTCACTAAGTAAAATAGTTAAGGGAATTGCAATATAACTGCACCAATACAAAAACAGCCAGTTAATGACATTATATTATATATATGCATGATCAATAAACAACAAAGAGTGTGTTGTGTTGTTGGGTAAAAATACATATTAATTAGTACACAACTCAATATGAAAGCAATCATATAACGTTGTTCTGTTGATACTAATACTTCTAAAATAACGATTAACATATCGATATTGTTTTGCACAATAACCGAACTAAGATAATTACATTGATTACTGTCCTTGAAAGAGATAAACTTCCTCCTTGCACAATACACAATTCACTATAACAGTATGCACCATGCACCTTTACAAATATCAATTATATCTTGCACCATACGTCAGGCAAAATTAATCTCAGTTGAACTTTTGGTCATATAGCTCTTAATGTTTCTACTTATTTATACATTCATGGCTTTCAACTGTTGTGGTTTAAGCGTTTCTGATGAGGTACATCCATAAATGCGCCTCTAGAACTTCAAGTGTCATTTTCATTTACGCAGTACACCATGCATCATTACATAATTAGTATTAAAATAACATAAAAAAGTTCCGTGTTTTGTAACGATTTGAAACGGAAATTTTCCACAGCCTTTTCGATTGTTACCACTCTTTCGCATTTCCGTCGATCAATCATTGAAACGCGGACAATAACAGAGTGAGAAAGTTTAAAATTTATGATATATTTTTCCAAGCTACTTTATATTTGCTAGATAACATAATTTGATTAAGCAGAGATTATTAAGTTGGACTAGAAATCAGAAATTAAACCAATATTGACAAAGATGTATCGTTACTGCGAAAAGATAAATTCAAATATCTATTCCGTTACCTGATTCACGGTTAATTTCTCAGTTTAATCGAATAATTAGAGTCATTTTTTAACAATGTCAAGAACTGACTGTTTCTATATTGGCAATGTAAAAGATTCTCAATCAGCTGTATATGCACCCCCCCCCCCCCCCCCCCAAAAAAAAATCTTCGAGTCTTGGGGTCAATACAATTAACCTCGAATCTATAACAGGGCCAATACAAACACAGCCAGTTAATGACACTATATTATAGACATGCGTGATCAATGAACAAACAGTAGTGTGTTGTGTTGTTGATTAAAACTACACAAACATAAGCACACAACACAATTTGAACATCTCGATATTTATTTGCACAACAACCGAATAAGGATGATTGCCATATGTATTATGTGCCTCTTCATTGTTAATTGTCATTGAATGAAATGAACACCCGCTTACACCATGCACCATTCCCTTTATCCTCATATACCTTCAAAATTAGCAATTACATCATGTCCCATAGATCAGGCAAAATTGATCTGAGTTTGCATTTTGGTGTTATAGCTCCTATTATTTAGGTTTAAGCGTTTCTGATGAAGAAAGGCGCTTCCGGAATTTATAAAATTGTATTTCCATTTTGCACAGTAAACCATGCACCTTTACACCATATAATTCTAAATAAAACGTACAAACCCTTATACTGTATCCCTTACATAAGAAAATGGACAGTTGTTTTCCGCTCGTTTGAAGTGTTTGAGTTTTTGATTTTGCCAATTGTAAAGTGATTTTCCGTTTTGAATTTTTTTTGGAGTTCGGTATTTTTGTTGTTTTACTTTTCACTTTCCCCTCTAAAATGTGAATCATACATGATTGACACCTTTCGAAATTATCCGATGAAATGTTTAAAGAAATTTGAAATTTGAATACATCTTTTATTAGACGAACTTAAATATATACATCATACAACATTCCTCATTTGCCTTACACAATACATCATACAGTATTACGCCAAACACCATTACATGCACGTTTTATTTAGAAGTTTACACCCGTCCAGAATTGGATGGCTGTTTGCTTATGTGTTTACTGTAATATTTTTCGATGCCATCACCGTTTATTCTACATTACCCTAAAACGTAAGCATGAATTCGTGTGTACCGTTCTAATCATAAACGGATTTTATTTTTGGCTATTCTAATCTCATTTTTTCGGTTAAATCGACATAAAACAGGACAGGGACAGTGTTCATCAAACAAAATGTTATGTGTACTTGTTTTGTATGAAAGCGAGCTCTGCATGATTTGATCACTATTCCATTCTAAACGTGTGTGACAATAACTGTCAATTTCTTGAGTGTATTTAAATGACATAGTAAGAATTAAGTTATCATAATCCGCTTAATGTTAAAATGATTATAGATATTATATATTTATAACTTACCAGATTTCCTTATGAATAGATTTGTCGTTTGCAGTTTGCATAATTAAACTGAGAAAATGTAAATCAAAACATACCTGTTCCTCTCGTTAAATCAAGAGTACAAATGACACAGACAATAGGTTATAATATGGATAACCTACAGTACTTTTAAATGAACGTCTATGAATGTAATACAAACATATAGTAGGCTGTCATTCATAACTTGCTCTTGATCTTCCTTTTTGATTAGGCCTTTTAACCATGTTTGATTCGAGCGTCATTGATCAGTCTTTTGTAGACGGAACGAACGTCTGGTTTACAAAATAATAGGCTGGTATCTTTGAAGAGTTTTTTTTCTTTAATTTAGTAAAACTTATGACGACTACCGTAATAAATAAAAACAAAAAAACAACTGAATAAAAGTATAAATCGAAATATACCATTATAGTGGATGACCTTTAGTGAAATGAGAAAAATAGTATTTGTCAGGGAGACGACAATCTAAAAAATAAAATAAAAAAATACCGAACTCCAAGGAAAATTCAAAACGGAAATTCCCTCATCAAATTGTAAACTCAAAAGCTCAAACACATCAAACGAATGTAAAACAACTGTCATATTCCTTATGTAGAAAATGGTTTATTAAATATAGTTTATAGCTGGCTAAACCTCTCACATGTATGACAGTAGCTTAAAATTCCGTTATATTGACAACAATGTGTGAGCAAAACAAACAGACATAACAGGTAAAAATGTCAAACATTTGGGTCCAGCAGGCAACATTGTGATATAATCTTAATCTCTAAAAAAAATAACAATTATGTCAACAAAGAAAAACAAAATATCATATAGAAAAAGCACATTAACAGTACCACAAAATAGTTCCTTAGATATAAAACAAATGTTTCTTCATTTTGTTGCTTCGTCTCTTAGGTAAACATATGCATGATATACGAGAGAATTGTTAAGGAAATGTTTACACACATACGATCAAAACCAAAGAATGATGTGTTTGGTTAAATGCACAAGAAAACTAACGGAATATGTTTATATCGATAAATTATAAAAAGGTGTGCATTTTTTTCAATCGTTTTGATATTGTGTTTATTTATTAATCCAAACCATGCAAACATTGAATGAAAACGTTCGATTATTTTAGTCGGAAATATTAGTTGTGATTTTTTAACGTCTTTTACAAGTTATGCATATGCGAAGGAAATGTTGTATTATGAAACATCAATTTACTGATAGGTTTTAATAAACACGATATATTGATTGTCGGGGGTAGATATTGGGTTAAAACTGGCAATTCCTTAATATTCGACAGAGGAAAGTCATATGAAAATTCCGTTGATAAACATGAATAGCTGTTCCTTTAAACAAATAAGCACATACATTAAAAAAAAATGGCTGGTGATGAAACATTCACTTAAAGAAAACGCTCGATATCATGTGTACATAAATTTGTAAATCGGCAACTACGTTTTCGTTAAATTTTCACAAAGTAAAATGTTTAGACTATAATGAACAAAACATTGATACCGTGACGAAGAATGATCGAGGTCACATTTCAAACAAATGGATGACAATTATTTTCATAAACAAAATGCAATTATACATTTTCTTATCTTTGCAATCCTGATAGAGCGTATGTAAATTATATTAAGTGTAAAGATATTGCGGTTCATAGACGATGGATGTTTATTGAATGGTAACATATTAATAAATACGACTAATTTAATTATTGTTTTCCAACATGTTGAAAAGGTTATTTTCCTGTTAAATGTGTAGAGCAACGTCAGCATGTGAATAATCGTCTGTTTTTTTTTTAAATTTTTGTACTGAGTTGCCACTTACGAGAATATGTATGAGCTTGCTTTTCTGTTCATGTGTAACTGTTCCTTAATCGCAGTTATAGGTATATGGTTGTGCGGAGTAAATTATGCGTTTGACCGTTCTTATATCTTTTCGTTCTTACCTTCGCTTGTCGTTTCGAAACCTTTAAAGAACATTTCAGTAAGATGATTATAAACCTATTAAGGTAAGTAATATATTAAATCATCGACAGGTTCTCACAGATCTTTACGAGACATAATCTAAGATAATTGTTTAAATTATAGATAATGCATATTTTTAGGTTTTTCTTGTTGTAGAACACACCGAAGGGTATCAGGATTGATCAAATGAAAGACCGACCGTAGGGAGGTGTTTCTTTGGGCAATCCTGACACCCAAAGTGTGTTCTACGACAAGAAAAACCTTAAAATATGCATTATCTGACTTATATACCGTCAAAAAAATATTGTTTTTATAAAGATTTGCAAAATTTAGCATCCAATTTTACCGATCACACTTAAGTGGGATATTCCTTTCTATTGCGTTCAGGTTTTAATACGCCTACGGATCATTTAAAATGTGAAATAAAACTCACAAATTAATCTAGATATAAATCTTAGAAACTATTATCCATACACAATAAAAATATTACTGTTACTGCATGAAGTAAGACACAAATGAATTGTTACCATCTGATAACGGTGTTATGAAAAATACAAGACACTTTGTAAGTAATTTATTGTACCAACTTAGTTTATGGAAAAGGGGAGGTGCTATGTTTTTTTTTGTCTGTTTGTAATGACATTTTATTGCGGAAAAGTGATTATTTTTTCAACAATTTTAATTGAATCGAATTAAATATTCAGAATGATTTTCTTTTGAATAGCAATACATTTTTTTCACAGATAATCAGGATATAATTATATACCCTTCCCCCACCCGACCTCATTTTGAGGAACGTGAATGTTTTTCAATAGAATATAAGAATATTTTATTAGTTAATCATTTGATAGAGTAAAAGGTATACATAAATGTAAAAAAAATTAAGAACTGACACGAAGGGGGCACGAAATCGTGATACATGTACATGTTTCACGAAAACGAATATCAATACATGTAGGTCACAGTATGATTTCCTATTCAGTGTGTATCGTCCTGAAGATGCATGAAATATTTGCCACTGGACGTTAAGTAACCATCAATCAATCAACCTATTCAGTGTGAATTACATACGAATATGTTAAAACTGGCTTTATTTTAAAGTGTTATGAAAGTTTTACATTAAAATTCATCTCGCATATATGATAATGTCTCTGTATTGTAGCGATAAATTAACAAAACTTCACATTATTTGTTTCTAAAATTAAAATTCGGGCAATGACGATTTTTTTACACCTATCATAGATTGAACTTTAAAAAATAAATTCCAAAATCGGCAACAGAAACTATCAGACGAATATAATTTTGAAGTAAATTATAGTTTGCATTTTTATCAAGGAAAATAATTACCTCACACAGGTCAATATTATTTTATGCCTTGGAGCATATTTCATTGAAACATGGTATCGTCCGGGTTTATTCTTCGAAAGAATGACCTATCGTTCTGAAAGAAAATAACTCCATATAGGTATATAATGGTAGATATCAGTATTAAGACGTCAATCAGATACCATATTAAACATTCTGAGTTTTGGAGTTTTTTTTTATTAAGAGCACTAAAAGCATTTAAAACCGAAAATTCAATGTACAAGAATGTTCATCATTATATTCACACATGCACTGATATTGAATTTAGTCACCTGTATCGTGATATTAACACTTTTTGCTTAAGTTATTACCCTACGATAACAAAATTTTTCGTTAAGAAGCAAAATTATTGACTTAAGTTTTATTTACCTCTATTTGTGTCCTTTTTGTGGTTTATTTAGTGAGAAACTTCAACTTGCCAAAAATTTATGTCATATGTGTGGTTACAGAGATAATTATTACACCCTGGATTTTAGCTTGGTGTCCTTGGTCAGTAAGTGTGTAAGCCTGTGTAATGCAATACAATCAAATCATTCAATCTGCACATGAAAAAATAAAATAGAACAGATATTTAAAGAGTTTTTAACTTGTACAAGCATTCAATGAATATTTCCTCACGTGTTTTTTTTACGCTATCTTTTCTTTTGATCGTGCACGTAGGGAAGTCATTAATTTTTGTGTTTCAGAATTTGAAATTTTTGTATTGTTCATATATAGGAATATTTAATTTAATGGATTTGCTATAGGAAAATATTCATTCTGAGAAACATAGATAGAAATATATCCTTGTAAAACGTCCATTAAAATACGATGAGCGGCAATAAGGAAAATATTGTGATCAATCATGTAAACGACACGTGTTAATATGAGAACAATATCATATTAGACAATTTAGAAATACAATTTATAAATTTTAACATGTAAATGAATCTATATAGATAAGAAAACCGTGAACATAAGAACATTACATTTGAATAAAGTGGGTTTTATTGAAGAATTGTTTTTTTTTTTTTCTTTACAAATAATGTCTATTATCTTTTAACCTTTCTGAGCCAAGATCTGTTGATCGTGTTCTTTTTATTTGGATGTTTTGCCTTTTTGATCTTTACACTTACATCTTTTTTTTTCAACTTCTCTTTGATTGCAATATTGGTCGTTTTTCATTTGTAACATGTGGAACAGATCATGGACACATGCAAACAACAATTTTATCGCTTTTGTTGTCAACTCTGTGTAATCAAACACATTTTTCATCTGATAGTTCTAACTCTTTTTGTTTTTTATCACCACTGCATTGAAACGGTGAAGGCTTTTAAGTTTTTCGTTTTCTTATAATTGTTCACATCTCTTAGAAACGTCAATGAAGTTTGACATAGTATTTGATTTATTTCCTAATTTCCATTATGGCAGTTAAACTGAGATCAAGATCAAAGGGCCTTCAAAGAGTTTGTCATGTTTGGGTTTTTAGCTACTCCTCTAAAACAACAAAAGAAATGAAATGAATTGTTTCAGACAATATTTGAAGGAACTGATAGTTGCAGTTAAAATAATTTGACTATATTTATACTCACTGTATATTTGCTTAAACAGTTACATTACACATTCATTCGGATTGTATGTATTAATTGTGGATGGCTTTGATCGTAAAGATATCAATTACACGTGACCTTGTGTGAAAAGAGAGCAGATGCTTTATCCATTAATTATATGAAATAAGAAACCCATTCATATTAAGAAATAATGTAAGGTAGACTATACTACATACATTGGATCTTCATGATCGGACTTATGGTTTTGTATTCGATTGAGCAGTTATTTGAACATCGGTCAACTATTGTGGCCTTTTATTCAAGTACGGATATTTGAAATTTGTATAC